TGCCCAGTTCATCCCTTGTGCATCTCTCTTTCAGACACCTTGTCAGACCTGTTTCCAAATACTCATCTGTTTCCCAACCTGCCAGTTTTTCTCTCAGATCCATACGTAGTCCATCATACGAGTCTTTTCTTTTCCAGACATCTTACTCGGCTCATTTTCAAGCTTATGCCAAATCAATCACACAAGTTGTTTGCCAGGCCTTTTCTCAAGCTCATGCAACGTCAATTTCTCACCCATTTATCTTCTTGACATCTTGCCAGACCTTTTCTTAAGCCTGCGCAAAGTCAATTACTCATCCATTTTTCTTTTCTGGACATCTTGCAAGGCCTTTTCTCAAGTTCATGCAACGTTAATTACTCATTCATTCTTTTCTTCTGGCCATCTTGCCAGGCCTTTTCTCAAGCCTGCGCAAAGTCAATTAGTCGTTCATTCTTTTCTTCTGGACATCTTGCCAATTTTTTTCTCAAGCCTGCGCAAAGTCAATTACTCATTCATTATTTTCTTCTGGACATCTTGCCAGACCTTTTCTCAAGCCTGCGCAAAGTCAATTACTCTTTCATTCTTTTCTTCTGGACATCTTGCCAGACATTTTCTCAAGCCTGAGCAAAGTTAATTACTCATTCATTATTTTCTTCTAGACATCTTGCCACACTTTTTCTCAAGCCTGCGCAAAGTCAATTACTCATTCATTCTCTTCTTCTGGACATCTTGCCAGACGTTTTCTTAAGCCTGCGCAAAGTCAATTACTCATTCATCCTTACGCTCATGGTATCCTTCTCTTTTGCATGTTTTTTCTTCAGTAGATGACACACCTTCCCCCCACTCAAAATGCGATGTCCCCATCGCACGACTAGTTCTCACTCGGAGGTAAGCAACCTTTGACCCACCAACGAGTAGGCGGATGCCGGCCCATCAGCCCCAAAAAGGAAGGGTGATCAGTCCTCCCCCTGCTGATAACTCACCTCATCCCCTTACTCCGTCCGACCTTTTGCTGCTTACGAGACGGGCGTCATTACTGAGGTACCTCCTCACATCTACAAGGCAGGTCTAGTCCAAGCCTCCCAGGACCCCGTCTTGCCGTAAGGGCTTCCTCGCGAATCGTTCCTCCCGAGTGGTAATTTTTTGGATCCGGCCTCTTCCTTTCAAGAGAGTTGGGGCTCTCAATTAGTCCACGAGTGCAGTTACGAAGACCTCGCAATTAGTCCCGAAGTGGTTGTAATACTCCGGCGGGGCGGTATCAATGCCCCGTGGTGGTTATGGCTTCCACCCGGTACCACGCCCAACTCCTCCCTCTGGATAGTGCTGCTCAACTTAACGCGAGCCGCCGTGATTCATTCTAAGCGGTCATGCCGCCCCTCAACGACATGGCGTGTGGTTGGGAAGAACAAAAGAGACTAGAAAAAAAGAATGGCTCTCTCGCCCATTTGGTTCCCTCACCCTTTGACGTTTAGGCGTTCAACACGAGGCGCAATTTGAACTTCCCAACTAGAGCTCGTTGTCGAGGTCAGTTCCGGACGTCCCGCACCGATCCAAGCGGTACGTGCCTTGGTCCTTTAACCCTCATCCTCTTACAAGAGGAACAGGTCGCGCTGAGACTTTTTCCCTTACAGGGATAGAGGTCTTGGGGTCGCGGTGCAAGCACCGGTATCCCCCCTCCTGCTGAGGTCAAAGTCTAGAAAAAGAGAAAATTCATTTCAAGGCTATTTCCAAGTCCATTTCAAGTTGCCTAGGGTCCCCTGACTATGCAATGCAATATTCAATCCTCAATCATTCAATCCAATGCTATTTCCAAGACCGATTCTCATGGCTGGTCTGACAGCCTCTTATCAACAAGGTCACCCCCATGGCCGGTCTGGCGGTAATTCTCTTAATAGTCATTCTCAAGACTAACCCTTCTGCCCACTCAATCCTCAATTTTCTCATTCCTCAACACCCAATCTTTGTGACCGTCCCAACGGTCCCTGCCCTTCTCGGTTTTAAGGTTCTGCCTTCTTTATCCTGTCCTTCTGATTCACATCTTTCTTCCGCCCCCTTGGCTGTTTCGGCGACCGACCCACCGACTTTTTCCATTTCCTCAATTCATTGGCTATTTCAACGACCGACCCACCGGCCTTTTCCACCTCTCTCATCCATCCTTTTGCTATTTCAATGACCGACCCACCGGCCTTTTCCATTTCTCTCATCCCATTGGCTATTTCAATGACCGACCCACCGGCCTTTTCCATCTCTCTCATTCATCTCATTTGGCTATTTCAATGACCGACCCACCGGCCTTTTCCATCTCTTATTGCTCGTTCCAACTCATTCTCAATCAACCTTTCTCAATCAAACATGCAGGGGACCCCAGTGCCTATTTCAAAAGGAATGACCCTTGTCAGGGGTCATTCCCGAACAACCTGGTTAGAGTCGTTCTTTTCCATTTTTAAGTCGAACAGCCTGATTAGGGCCATTCATTTCCATTCTCAAGTCGAATAGCCTGGTTAGGGCCATTCCTTTCCATTCTCAAGTCAAACAGCCTGGTTAGGGTCATTCCTTTCCATTCTCAGCATGGTTAGGGCCATTCCTTTCCATTCTCAATGTTAGTGCCCGAGGGGGTGAGCCTCGAGGTTACGGATCCCATTTCTATCTTGGAGGTTAGAAGGTGGTCATCTCATTTTTTGCGTGCATTCCCTTTCCCACAGTAATGTACCGTCCATTCCATTTCTCACAGTAATGTACCATCCATTCCATTTCTCACAGTAATGTACTATCCATTCTATTTCTCATAGTAATGTATCATTCATGCGTACATCCGACTTACCGTCTAGTACTCAAGTTGGGGCTTGCGAGTCCAAGTAGCACGAGCCCACCCGGTCGTTCATCCATAACAAATGACAAAGACGCCCCTTCCATTTTCACTCTTCCTGATCGCTCAGGTTTCGGCTATTCTCAGTCTCATTCATGACTCAGTTAGATTAGGCTCTTAGGGAAGGAGTGTTCTTCACGCCCCTTAACCCATAGGTTCCCTAACCTCTCTTGTACTTGACCAATCATTCAATGCCATGGTTTGCTCGTCAATCCGTACTCAAGGTTTTCCCCTCTCAAAAGCATAATCCTTATTCCATCCAGAATTCACAATACACCCTCTCCCAATTGGTCTCATCCCAAATCCCATGTTTTTGTCTTAGATACCCAAGGTAGCTCATCCAAAAAGTAGCCTCAACAACTATCTTCTACTTTATCGTGACACAGCCTTAGCTGACCCTCTTTTCACTTCATCCTTAGCAAGCTTGCCCATACTATATACGTTCTCGTCATTCTCATATCTCTGCAGACGGAAGAGCAGCGATCCTTTTCAATGCTAAGTCAACACCTAGTTCCTATTGTTGCCTTGCGCCTCGTCTTGCCCAGTTCCTTGTCCACCCCGTTCCTTGGCAGGCTTCCTAACCCCCAGGCCGTAGGTCTCGATCTCTCTTTTCATCCTTACAATTTTATGCAACTCTGCCTCGTTAAAAAAAAACAGTGGCGTGACTTCCACCCCTGCCCTTGCGAGTTCCCAAGTTTTGATAATCCATTCGTGCCTGATTACATTGGTTCATGGCTGAAACCAATGACTGGGCGTTGGCCCGAACTCGTCCTCCCATCTGAAAGCCCCGTCACCCGGCTGGTGCATCGGAGGCCGCCCCTCTTCCCTAGGCCTTGAGATCTCATCCCTCTCATCCCGGCTGCTGATTTCTATAACTTCTCGCACATCCTCATCCTCGTCCCCCTCGTCTTCAGTCTGTATGGGGCTATACCTACCAGCAAGGTTCTTTGGATCGTTGGTAAAAGGGATCTCTGTCCCCGTCCCATACCCCTCGCAACTGCCGTGACCGCTTCGTCCTTCAAGAGGGCTCTCCCCTTTCTCCTCGTCCTCCTCACGTTCGTCGCGCATACCTTGTCCCCCCTCGCTTTCCCCAGGCCAAGTCTCACGTGGTTCGCCCCTGTTGGCCCCTTCCTCGTTAGAGACCCGAACCTTATCACCCATTTCTGTGTTGCCTCTTTCTTCCACATTTGCCCTTCCCTTTTCGCCCTTACTGTCAGATGATATTTCTATACCTTCTCCCTTGCGGAGGGGTGAGGGTTTCCTACACAAGCATTTCCTTCCACCCCTGCCTACCACTGACCCGCCCATGAGCCCAATGTACAATTTTCTCTTCGCTGTCCTCCTCCCTTGGCTTGGTCCAGCTTCCTCCCCTCCGGTAGGTTTGTTGATTGCCCTGCTATCGTTCTCGTTGCCGAATTCCATCTTTGTCTTTTCTTGTTTTACTCCTAAGCCCTGTATAGCAAAACAACACCCGCAATGTCCCTCACACACTCGCGCCCCCCCTGCCCCCCCTTAGGCCGGTAGACATTCCCAAAATGCACCCAGTATCCCTCGCATCACGCCCCTTTTATACATGCGAATGCCTCGTTTGTGATGACCCCATTTTCTTCCCGTCAAAAACTATGGTACAATGCCCCAAACATCCCTTCCCGTTGTCACACAAGCCAGATATTGCAAACCCCCAAGTCATGCTGCCTTTCAACCTCAGTCAGTCCAAGCCAAAGCGCCAGTCCCAAAGAAATGACAGTCCCACGAACATGGTCAGAGACAAACCATAGTGTGGGCAAGGTTGTGGTTAGTCTTTAGCTCGTGGCTCCTCTGTTTTCTTATCTTCGGTTTCCTGAAGCCATTGTTCCACTGGGTCCCGACTTAGAAACCTGACCAGTCGTTGTCCCGGGAAGGGCCCTTTCAATCCAGTTCCAATCAAATCTTCCAGTTCGAAGGTGTTCAGTCTCACCCGCTTGGCGACCCGGTAGGGGCCTTTGAACCTCCTTCCCAACTGTCCCGACCAAGTACTTTCTAGTGCGGAGTTCCTTAGCAGTATCATCTCCCCCACCTGAAGTGGCTCCTTACTGACATTCTTAACCTGGTCCCACCTTGCTTTGTCCCTCATTCTGCTGTCCAGCACCCGGCTGGCAATGTCTTCCATTACGTCCTCATTTTTAAGGATTTGTTGACATCTTGCCTCGATTAACTCTTCAGTGGTCATTGTGGACCATCATTTAGCCTATTCCACGTAGGTACCAAGGCTTTCACAGGAAAGTCGATCTCTCTTCCGTGCCACAACTCTGTCGGGATACATCCTGTTGTCCTTTTAGGAGTCATATTCTCTGCAAAGACAGCCTGCTTAAGATACCTAGGTCAGTTCCCCAGATGGTCTGCTACGAGCTTTGCAATCGTGTTCTTCAAGGTTCGGTGCCCCCTTTCCATAGGTGCATTGGCCTCATGGTGATACGGCTCGATGAGTTTGATCGGAACGCAGAGTCTCTTAAGCATCCCCAATACTTCTTGGTTCACAAATTTCATCCCATTGTCTGCTATAAACCTCCTGACGAACGGATGCCTTAAGTAGAAGTCTTCTATCCAGTCCGCCACACTCCTCCCTGTCTTTTTCTTGAGGGCGACTGCCTCCACGAACCCACTCAAGTTGTCTCGCGCATCCAGGATATACCTGTACCCATCCGTTGATACAGGCATGACTGCAAGGTCGAGGTGGACCAGATGTCCCGGCCCTAGCACCCGCGTTGGTCTAAGCGGCTCAACTACTCGTACCAAGCTTCGTTTTTGGCAAATAAGGCAAGTCTGGCAGTATATGGCGACCATGCCTGCCATGCCTGGCCAATAATAGAGCGACGTTATTTTTGCAAGTGTTCCTTTGGACGACCGATGACCTCCAGCTAACCCGTCGTTCATTGCCTGGATAACGTCTACTTGCCTAGATCTTCCGCATACAACCCTTCTGGGCATAGCACCTTCCTCCCTTCGGAACAAATGCCCCCCCCTTAGGACGTACCTTTCGACTTCTTCCCTTGCTTTAATACTGACTTCCGTAGGTTGTTTGTTTCCCACCAACAACAACCCGATCTCCCGAAAGAGCCCTTCGTATGATTGGACATAGAAAAACTCCTCCCCTTCTTGGCCCCCATCCTTTCCTTCCCGCATCTGGTTTACCACCCATTGCAACTTTTTCCTTTCCCAAGATTCCACTAAGCTCATCACTGCCTCCCGGCCTCCCTCAACCGCTTTTGCCATTAGTTCCTCTTTCGGTCCTACTATCGCTCCCCATGAGTCCTTTTCTTCTCTGCGTCCCCGAGTGGTAATTGGTCCTTCCTTAAGTTCTGCTACTACGGCAGGTGCCCCCTTCTCCAAAGTTTGGATCAATAGTTCTCCCGATGTGCATCCTTCGCTCATCATTTCGTTATCCACCGCGAGAGTCCCTCCTTCGTATTCGAGGAAGGTGTCTATGGGCTCTGCATCCTCCATCCCTTCGGGAGTAATGCAAACCCGACTAAGCCCATCTGCCTTGTTGCGGATTCCATCAATCCGTTCGATCTTGTAATCGAACTGCCAGATGAATCCTACCCATCTCCCTACCGTCGGATCTATAGGCCTGTAATTCTTTAGAGCCCTTGCGACATTCGTCGGATCGATCCTTAGGATGAACCGCCTCCCGAATAGGTAGGCCTGCAGGATGGCTAGGACTTCCTTCTTGAATTGCGAGTACCGCCGTGCCGCGGAGTTCTGGGTTCGACTTTCGAACCTAATCGGCCTCTCTTTTCTTCCCTCATACCTTTGAATCAACACACCTCCTACGACCAAAGGTCCTCCATCCGTCTCTAGGATGAAGGGTCGTCCCACTTTGTCATTAAAACAAGGCACGCACAGGGCGCCTGTCTCAGATGTCAATATGTCCTTGAGCCTTTGGACAGCTCCTTCTCGCTTCTCCGTCCAATCCATGGTTCCTTCTTCCCTGATCATAGCCCGGATAGGCTCAGCAATCTTGACAAAGTTCTTAATGAAGATCCTCCAAAAGTCGACTACGCCTAGGAATGCCCTTACCTCCGTTGTCATGCGCAACGGTGTCGGCCATTGCGATATCTTGTCGGTTTTTGCCGGATCCGGCTTCCTGCCGTAAGCACCGCAACGAAATCCTAGTATAGTTATCTCCGGTACTGCTAGGATACTCTTCGGTCCACTAGTCGTAATGTTGTATACTAGGAACCGTCGGAGTAAGTCCTTGATGTCCTGCAGGTGGTCCCACACAAAACGTCGGATCCCTGGTTGGACTTTCATCTCATCCTTCTCCTGCGCGCCTTTGATCGGATTGTCATCGATGTAAGGTTCACATTTTTCTGGGAACATGTCCCTGGCCATGGCGAGCATCCTGCGTTGCGCTTCGGCCACCGCATTTGTGAATCCTACAGGTGTCACTAGCATCTGTAGCTGGCCTACGGGGGTGTGCATAGCGGTGTATGACCTGTCCCGAACATCCAATGAAAGCTGGTCGTACCCTGAGTACAAATGTATCAGGGAGTAAATGCTCCGACCGGTGTGCGATTCTGCTAATAAGTCAGTCTGAGGTAGCGAGCCAGCATCCCGGATGGTTACTGCATTCAACTTCTGCAGGTCCTGAATCCACCTTAGTGTCTTGTTAGGCTTCCGAAAGACGAACCACCGATTTGCGTATGGCGATGCCGTAGGCTCCGCAACGAAGGAGTCCATCTTTGCTCGGAGGAGGTCTGTTACTTCTCCTGCTATCCCAAATTCATAGGATGGCCCCTTGTCATTCCAGCACTCATGTTCTACCGTGTGGATTCTGTCCGGAGGGATCAACTTCGCATCCAGTCGTCCCTTCTGGTGATCACTAAAGGCAAATGCCAGGTGAAACTCCTGACAGGTCCTTTTGATCAGGAGGGTTTCTTCTTCCGTTAAGAATCCGTCTTTCCCTATCTTCATTGTGTCCGCTACCTCATCTGGTATCCGATGTCCTTCCGTCGTCCTTCTTTCTCGGATCACTCGAAGGACCTCTTCCTCCTTCTCCATAGCCTCTTCCTTTGACGTCTTTACCAGGATCGAGACCGGTTTTGCTTTCTTCCCTACCGGCTTGTACTTTCGAACACTTCCTTCCGGGATCTTTCTCCTAAAAAATAAACAGTCGGAATTGCCCCCGTCGCCTCTACGACTCGTGGTTGAATACTAACTAGTTTCCCATTCAGGCAATATCCCTTTTGCACCTCTCTTTCGAACTTGGCCAAGGCTGCCGAATCCACCCCGACCTTGTGGTATCTGAGGGCCTTGATGAGCTGCAATAGATCGGGGATCTCGAGTGCGATTTCCGGCACGTCTATGCGTACTTCTTTCCGTTTGGGCAGGCTAGCACCAAGTTCGACCTCTGACTCCTTTTCCGCTACCATAACACCTAGGACTTTGACCTCCTGCCTCCTCTTCTTCTGGGGCAGGCCCATCTTGATCCACTCCTTCTTGTTGAATGCTTCCTCAATCATGATTTCTACCCTTTCTCTCATACCCTCCATCCGTGCGAAAGCCCCTTTCCACGTGCTATCCTCGAACGACGGCGACCATGTTGCCAATTTTCCCTTCGGGGGGTCTCCTCCTGTTCCAAGGAGTCGGAGGAGCTCTCCCCGGCCGGTCACAGGGTCCTCTATGTCTACCATGTATGAGCCATCGTGCAAGTGCATGCCTATCATCTCCACGTTCGCACACTTCGTGACGTACCCAGCGAACGGGATTTCCCCGCCAGCTCCCCGGATGCTCCCTGTTACTTCCTTGTTCACCGTACATCCCGCGATCGTTGCGAAATCTCTCCTTGTGAGAGTGATTTCTGCTCCCCCGTCTACTAATGCGTCGGTATGATGACCTCCGATCTGAATTTTCAGTTTCCCTACGGGCAGCACATAAAAGCTAAGCTTCGTCCCGGGTGGCGATCTCATGACTTCGCCGCCCTCTCGGTCGGGCAAGCTCAAACGAAAGTCTGCAAAGGCCTTTTCGAGATCCTCCAAGCCCCCGTGACTCCTCTGAAGGTTAGCCACTTCTTGCGGAGCTTCCTCCTCCCTCTCCCCTTCTGGTAATTCGGGGTTGTGGCCTATTTCTACTCGCCTCTGAGTCAACAGTTGTCTGAGTCCTTTGAGCAACCTAGGGCTAGCCTGCAGCATGGTCTGAAAAGACACCGACACCATGGTTCCTAGTAACTTGCTAATGGTATCGTCAAGCTCAGGCAAGGTTAAGATCGGGATTTGATACCTAAACTTCTTCTTAGCGGCGGTAACCTTGCCCGAAGGCTCCTCTTCCCTAGGCTTCCCATAGACTTTCTCTGGTTTCTCGGCCCCAGGCTCTGCCTAGGGTTCGGAGCTTTCGGCGACCTCTTCCATAATGGCGTCACGGTTAATCCTTCTCCCGGTCGTTCCCAGTCAAGTGGTTGCATGCACCCTATCACGTCCGTCGTTTTCTAGAATAAAGTTGACCTGCGGCCCGCGCCCCCGGAGTTGATCCCAGATGATCTCGCCCACCGGTTCGGCTTCTACGACAGTTATTTCTAACCCGTTGAGCATGATAATGGCTCGCCGCATCCCTCCTGGTGAGTTCCAGTTCACCCGTTCCCCTTGTGGTCCAAATATCTCCCCCTTTAATGACCTGGTACACCTTCTCTTCAGAATATCATGGTTGAGCTTTGGGCACGCGCGCACATAATGTCCTATTGCGGTACAGTACTTGCATTGCTCGTTAGCACGATCTCTCCGTCCGAACCCCCGGTTTGCTACACCTGGCGGAACCACAGCTTCCTGGGGAGGCAGGGCAGGTCGGGATACTTGCGCTTGCATAACCAGTAGTGCGCATTCCATCCTTCCAATTTTATAGTCGACCCCATGCACCCGTTCATGTAGACTTTCAATCCCCTTCTTTACCTTGTCGCCCGTCCTACCGGTCAGATCTATGATCTCTCCTTCCTTGAGCAAGGCCAACGTCTTCGTTACTACTGTCTTCTTAGCCAAATCCGTTATCGTGCTAAAATCAACATCTCGCGTGTTTACGAACTTGCTCGTCTGTTGGTAGGCTGACAGGATCTTGTCTTTGTCGAACTCGGAGAACTGCCTGAGGAAATATTTGCTCATTATCCGGTCCGTGACCCCGGGGATCCTTAGCGCTACCAGAGCAAATTCCCGTAGGAAATCATTGTACGTTGCGAAGTTCTTCCTCTTAACTGCCGCTAGGTCGGCCTCCGTTGGCATTTTCTCTGCCGCTAGGTACTTCCTCATCATCACATCCCGGGTCTCCTTCCAAGACCGGCTTGCGGCTACAATGGCCATTATGTCTCGTCCTAGGCTTAACGACACATGCTGTCCTAGATGGTCCATATTTTCCTCCTCGGTCCACTTTAATAACGCAGCTAGGTTCTCGTAGTCGATCAGGAACTCCGTGATGTTTGCTCCATCGAAAGTCTGCTTTTTCTTGGCGTCTGCCAGATAGCCTTGATTTTTGTTTAGTGCTCGCGCGAGGGACGACACTATCTTCTTAAGGCCACCCTCGTAGCTGTTGGCATCGCCTGCCACACTGTTATCCGGACTTTCCTTGCCGGTCTTCTGTCCCTCCCTGGTTTTCATAGTTCCTTCCGGGTCAAACCATCCCAACACTCTTTCCCTAAGGCTCCAAAGTCCTTCGCATCCTCGCGCTACTGCTGGCGTGATCGGCAGACGGCTAGCCCTACTGTCCATGGCTGGCGGAGTCGTAGCCTTTTCGGCTTCCACCCCCGGAGAGTTCTCTCTCTCTTACCTTCTCTTTCTCGGCGTTCCTCCACGGTCACTACTTTTATCCCTTTGTCCAGTCCCACCTTGGTTGGCCTTCCGTTCGTCCCGGGATTCCTCCTGCAGAGGACTTTCTTCGTTCCCAGTCATCATTTCCTCAATCAGTCTTGCCTTGTATTCCGCGGTCCTCTTATCTATCTTGGTTAGTTTGAGCCTCATGTCCGTGACCCTTACTTTCTTAGGTATGGCTCCTTCCGAGTTCCCGGGCTTTGTCCTATCCTTATTTCTGCCTTCCTTGGTCCTCTGAGTCACTTGCCTGCTTCCCCCAGCTTTCCCCGAGCTTTCCCCTGTGGAGATCTCCTTCCGGTTTCCTTTGGTACCATCCGGATTTATCGATTTTCTGTCCTTCTGCCCCCTTCGCTTTGTGCGGCACTGCCTCCTAAGCCTGGTTCCCCTTCACTCTTATGATCATCTGTCTCCTCCTCCGTTGCCATTTTGCCTAGTTCTGCATGAGCCAAAGAATTTCCAGGACACACGCAATGCGTGGTTTTTAGGTTCCCTAGGCCCCTAGCTCTGTTGGTTTATCTTTATAGTCCCCTTTCCTATCCCCGTTTCCTGATTGCCCTTCCTTAAGGAGGAGCCACGACTGGCCCTGCCACCCAGCCGAGTTCTGAACGTGACTGGGCTTCCTTTATCACAAGCCCGTTTGTAGTGCCCTTATCCCGTCGGCCGACGCGAGGGAGTCGGGGTTAGGCATCCTGCTAGGGGAAGCCTTCCCGAGCAGCATTTCCCGTTTTTTTTTTTACCTTCTTGGTTATGGTCACTCATTAAGAGTCTACCCCCTTTTTTGTTTTTCTAGTAGGTTTTAGTCGTCCGGGTCCGCGGCCCCTTTCTTATTCCCTTCGGTTGATCTCCATACGCAGCGAACTATACTGGATCTGCCCTATTGGCCTGCCTGCGGATCCTAGTCCCGCTCGCGCCCTCGTGGTTCTTCCGGTTCGATCGGCTCCTCGAATAGCTCAGCCACCCCTGCCAAATAGCTCTCTCCTATCTCGATTTCCCTTTGGATTATGCGTTCGTGCCCTGTCTGGTCTAGCCAGGGCGCACAAAATATCAAGATATGGATGACATCCAGTAACTCGTGGGCCCTGTTTCCCCAGAACGGCCAATGCCTCACGGCGACATCATAGAACATCCCGATGGTTAGAGAGGAAAAGTGGTCTTCCCACATTATTGCCGAGTCTGCCAGCTTCCACGCCCATGCGAGGCTCCCGAAGACGAGATCTATCATAAAACGGGGGACCCGGCACCTCAACGGCGTGGTTGGTGCTCTGAATTCACGCCATCCCCCCATTTCCACCCGGGTAAGTAAGCCCACGTTCCTTCTACCCCTGATTGATTGTCCTATCCGGGTCAACGTCCGGGCGGCCCTTTGAAAAATCGGCGCCAGCTCATGACCTTGAGCTATCTCTACCCCCAATGAGTGCCAACCGATCTCAGGCAGATACATGGTCCCGGAAACTTCCAGATTGGAAAACAGATCATCCCCGGGTCCTCGGTTGAGTCTCATCCCTATCCACCGACATTCTACTAACATGAAGGCGGCGTCTCTCCCCAAAGTCACAGCCCGCCATTCTATATCGAACCCCCGATAAGTTGAACTCGACGGGAGGGATACTTCCCAGCGTCCACCGTTATTCCACGGCGGTCCGGGGTACCGGGGTTGGCGCGCCATTCGCACACGGACCTGAAGTTCCATATGCTCACGTCTTGCTGCCATGGTTACCTTGGTGATTTCCTGGATGATCCACATAGAAAGTATTACAGCCAATCCTTAGAAACCGTCCACCTACTGCCCCCTTACCCTTCGTGTTTTTCAACTTTCTTTTCTGGTTCCAACTATCCCTCCCCACCTCCGGGAGCAGTAGCCTCTTCTGGATGTTCGTCCAATCGGCACAGGTCGTCTATGTAGGTCGCGCCCCGGACTACCTCCCGTCGGATGATTCCCCACAAGGCCTCGTCATTTATTTGTGGGACTCCCGGCCTAGTATCTATTGCCGCACATAGAATGCAAAGCACTTCGCGACCCTGTTCGTCCCCGAAAGGCCCCATCTCTAGGAAGGCCCGATAGTATTCTCGATACATTAATGCTTCGTCAAAATTTAGCCTACTTACGGCAGTTACCGCCTGCTCCACTCGTTCTATGCCTCTCATTCGTCTTAGCAGGAAGGGCGGCAAACTCATCCGTACGATCTCATTCGGTAGCTCAAAGACCCCTGCTGCGGCGACTTTTACCTCAACCGTCACGTCATCTCGTTCCGGATCTGCAAACTCAAATCCCTCCCGCCAGGTTATTTGCCATGCTCCTTCGAACATTCCCACTGGGTCATCCTCGGAAGCCAAATCAATCCCAAAAGTCCGCCATCCCTCTTCCGACAGGTGTAAGGATCCCGTCGCATGTACACGCCCTGGGCGGTTCAAGTTTACGCCCCTGAACTCCCCTCTCCCGCGCCATTCCAGCTCCACTACTATCTTCCACCAACTCTACCCCCACCCAGTCCATTACCGGATTGCCTACCGTATTTCTCGTCGGCAGGCTTATTTCGACCCTGCCCTCTGATATTCTTGGTGGTCGGATCCCACGAGGTCTATCTGCCCCGAACGTCATTTGCCGGGTCATCTCGCAATGTCTCCTTTCCTGCTTTCTTAGTCCGATCGCTGCACCCACCGAGATTTCATGCCTTTCGTGTTTTAGTCTTTCAACCCTCCCTACTTATCGTACACTGGTTCTTGCCGCTATCCCCAGCTCATACACGTTCAATTCTACCTCCCCCCCCATTTTCCAATTGCTGTCACTCCCCCCTTGTTTCGATCCTTATGCACCATCTACGGCCTAATGTACACACTCCCTTTTCT